ACGGCGGCGGGGGCGGGGCCGGCGGCGTCGGTGGCTCCGCCCAAGAGGGACGGCGCCATCTCGGACGACACCAAGGCGGCGCTGAAGGCGGCACTGCTGAAATCGGCCATGAGGAACAAGAGCAAAGGTGGGGGGTTGGGTTGGGTTGGGTTGGGTTGGGTTGGGTTGCATTGAGTTCAGTTGCGTTGAGTTGGGTTCGAGTTGAGTTGATTGATTTGGGTTGGTTTAGTTGATCAAAGTTGAGTTGGGTTGAGTTGGGTTGGGTTGGATTGGATTGGTTGGGTTGAGTTGGGTTGCGTTGAGTTGATTGGGTTGAGTTGGGTCAATTGGGTTTAGTTGGGTTGAGTCGGTTGAGTTTGGTTGGGTTGGGTTGAGTTGACTCAATTTGAGCTGGGTCAAGTTGGGTTGGTTTGGATTGATTGATTTGGGTTGGGTTGGGTCGAGTTGAGTTTGATTGGGTTGACTCAAGTTGACTAGAGTAGAGTTGGGTTGAGTTGGGTTGGGTTGAGTTCATTGAGTTCAGTTGGGTTGGGTTGCATTGGGTTGAGTTGGGTCAAGTTGGGTTGAGTTGATTGACTTGGGTTGGGTTGAGCTGAGTTTATTCAATTGCGTTGGGTTGGGTTGAGTTGAGTTCATTGAGTTCAGTTGGGTTGCATTGGGTTGAGTTTGGTTGGGTTGACTTCACTCAAGTTGGGTTGAGTTTGGTTGGGCTGCGTCCGGTCGGCTTCATCCCATTGGGTTGGGTCGCGTTGCCTTGCCTTGACTCCCGTTGACTTTGCCCCGCCCCCACTGACCCCGCCCCTTTGGCCCCGCCCCAGACCCGCCCTGCGCGGCGCCGGACGCTCCCGACGGCCGCCGGCCGGTGACGGCGGCGGAGCGGCAGCGCGAGCGCGAGGAGAAGCGCCGGCGCCGGGCCGAGCGCGCCCGCGAGCGCGAGAAGAGGCAGCGGGAGCGGGAGCGGCGCGAGCCCCGCCCAAAGGGGGAGGGGCCCGGCGGCCTCGTCCTCACCGACGACGACCGGCACCTCCTGGAGCGCTGGACCAAGATGGCCGACGGCGCCCGGCCCCGCCCCCGCGCCCCGCCCCCGCCCCTGGCACCGACCAATGAGGCGTGGCCGCGCCCCGCGGGGTGGGCGGAGCCCGCGGACGTGGCCGCCGTGACGCGGCAGCTGCAGAGGTCACAGGTGAGGGGGCGGGGTCTGGACGGGGGGTGGGCGGGGGTCTGGGCGTGGCCACGCCCCCCGGGTGAAGGCCACGCCCCCTCTGGGCAGGTGGAGGACCCGCTGCCGCCGGCGTTCCCGGCCACGCCCAAGGGCAGCGGCGCCGGCTACGGCGTCGGCTTCGACCTGGAGGAGTTCCTGAGCCAATCGCTCGACATGGTGGGCGTGGCCAAGGACAGGTGGGGAGGGGCCAGGGGGAGGGGAGGGTCGGGTTGGGTGGGGATGGGTTGGGTTGGGTTGGGTTCATTGGGTTGGGTTGGGTTGGGTTGGGTTCATTGGGTTGGGTTGGGTTGGGTTGCGTTTATTGACTTTCATTGGGTTGGGTTGGGTTGGGTTGGGTTCATTGGGTTGGGTTGGGTTGGGTTCATTGGGTTGGGTTGGGTTGGGTTGGGTTGGGTTCATTGGGTTGGGTTGGGTTCATTGGGTTGGGTTGGGTTGGGTTGCGTTTATTGACTTTCATTGGGTTGGGTTGGGTTGGGTTGGGTTCATTGGGTTGGGTTGGGTTGGGTTGGGTTCATTGGGTTGGGTTGGGTTGGGTTGGGTTTATTGGGTTGGGTTGGGTTGGGTTCATTGGGTTGGGTTGGGTTGGGTTGGGTTTATTGACTTTCATTGGGTTGGGTTGGGTTGGTTCCCATCGGGTCGGGTTTATCGGGATGGGTTCGGTCGCGTTGTCTCCCATTGGCCCGTCCCCCCGGGTGGGCGTGTCCCCGCCTCTGACGTCACTCCGTGGCCCCGCCCCCAGCCCGCAGGAGGCGGCGCCGCTGTCGGCGTCGCTGCTCCGCGATTGGCTGGAGGTTCACCGGCTGAGCCCCGCGGCGCTCGAGAGCCTCCAGCGCGACCTCCTGATGGACGAGCTGCCCGAGCCCTGAGCCCCGCCCCTCATCTGCATACCCGGACCACGCCCCCGCCCCCAGTAAACTTTGTACCGGAACCCCGCCGCGTGTCCGCGTTTTGGGGGGAATTCGCAAATTTTTGGGGGGATTTTTGGGTTCTCGCATATTTGGGGGGGAATTTTCGCCTTTTTGGGGCAGAGTTTTTGTCTTTTTAGGGTGGGATTTTTGCCCAAAACCGGGAAAATTCCACCCAAGAAAGGCAAAATTCTCTCGGAGTTTTTTCCTTCATGGGTGGAATTTTTGCCTTTTTGGGCCCAATTTTCACCTTTTTTTTGGGTGGAATTTTCGCCTTTTTTTTGGGTGAAACTTTCGCGCATTTTTGGGTGGAATTTTCGGGGGAATTTTCACCTTTTTGGGGTGGAACTTTTTGCCTTTTTTGGGGTCGAATTTTCGGCAGAATTTTCGCCTTTTTCGGGCTGAGCTTTTGCCTTTTTTTGGGGCAGAATTTTCAACTTTTTGGGTTTTCACCTTTTTTGGGCAGAATTTTTGCCTTTTTTAAGTAAAATTTCCACTGTTTGGGATGGAATTTTCGCATTTTGGGGTAAAATTTTGGCCTTTTTTGGGTGGAATTTTCGCCTTTTTGGGCAGGATTTTTGCGCCATTTCTGGGTGGAATTTTTGCCTTTTTTGGGTGGAATTTTCACCTTTTTAGGCAGATTTTTGTGACTTTTTGGGTGGAATTTTTGACTTTCTGGAGCAGAATTTTCTCCATTATTGGGAAGGGCTTGGGTGGCCATTTTGGGTGGAATTTTCTTCTTTTTGGGCAGGATTTTTGCACCGTTTCTAGGTGGAATTTTTGCCTTTTTTGGGTGGAATTCTCGCCTTTTTGGGCAGGATTTTTGCGCCATTCCTGGATGAAATTTTTACCTTTTTTTGGGCAGAATTTTCGCCTTTTTGGGGCAGAATTTTTGCACCATTCCTGGGTGGAATTTTTACCTTTTATTGGGCAGAATTTTCGCCTTTTTGAGCAGAATTTTTGCGCCGTTTTGGGGTGGAATTTTTGCCTTTTTTGGGCGGAATTTTAGCCATATCGAACCCCCCCTGCTGAGGATGAGGAGGGCGGCGAGGAGGGGGAGGGGCCGGGGAGGAAGAAGAGGCGGAGCCGGCTGCGTTTTTGGCAATGGCTTTCGTAGCAAAGACATCACAGACCACGAGCGCGGGGGGGCGGGGCTCGGGAGGGGGCGGGGCTTGGGAAGGGGAGGGGCTTGGGGAGGCCCCTACCCCCGAACTGTTGGGGATGGTCCCTGGGGGGTGGGGCCATTCGGGGGGCGGGGCCCCGGCGGGGCCGGAAATCTAAGGGGGGGATGGGGGTCGTTGATGACGTCATCGGGTCATTGATTGCGTTTTTAATGAAGTCATTGGTGGTTGATGAGGTCATCGATGAGGTCATCGGGTCGTCGATGACGTCATTGGTTCATTGATGAGGTTATTGTGTGATCGATGGCATCACCGGGTCATCGATGACGTCATTGGTTCAATGACTGGGTCGCGGGGTCATCGATGACGTCATTGACGAGGTAACAGATGAGGTAATTGATAATGGCAATAGGTCATCAATGACGTCATTGGGTCATGGGCGGGGCCATCAATGAGGTCATAGATTGGGACATCGATGACGTCATTGGGTAATTGATTGGGTCTTTAACGATGTCATTGGTCATTGATGAGGCAATTGGGATATTGATGACGTCATTGAGTCATCAATTATGTTATTGGGTACTGGTTAGACTGGTCAATGAAGGGTTAACCAGTTCAAGACTGGTTTAACTGGTCAGGGATGGGTTAACCAGTTGGGTGGGTGGTGCGTTAACCAGTTGAGGACCGGTTTAACTGGTCAATGAAGGGTTAACCAGTCGGGCACTGGTTTAACTGGTCAATGAAGGGTTAACCAGTCGGGCACTGGTTTAACTGGTCAATGAAGGGTTAACCAGTCGGGCACTGGTTTAACTGGTCGGTGATGGTCACGTTATCGGCGCGGTGGGAATGGGACGATGGCACCGCCCCCACCCCGATGGGTTGGTCAACCCAACTTGACCCAACCCAACCCAACCCTACTCAACCCAACACAACCCAACTCAACCCAACTCAACTCATCCAACCCAACCCAACCCAACCTGACCCGACCCAACCCAACCCAACTCAACTCAACTCGTCCAACTCAACCCAACTCAACCCAACCCAACTCAACCTGACCCGACCCAATGAACCCAACCCAACCCAACCCAACTCATCCAACTCAGCTCAACCCAACCCAACCCAACCCAACTCAACTCATCCAACCCAACTCAACCCAACCCAACTCAACCTGACCCAACCCAATGAACCCAACCCAACCCAACTCATCCAACTCAACTCAACCCAACCCAACCCAACTTAACCCAACTCAACTCAAACCAACTGAACCCAACTCAACCCAATGAGACCCAACCCAACCCAACCCAATCCAACCCAACCCAACTCAATGAAACTCAACAAACTCAACCCAACCAAACTCAATGCAACTCATTCAACTCAACCCAACTCAACCCAACCCAACTCAACCCAACCCAACCCAACCCAACTCAACCCAACCCAACTCAACCAACCCAACTGATCCAACCCAACCCAACCCAACCGCCGACTCGTGGGCGTGGCCAGCGGGGGATGACGCGATGGATGACAACCAATGAGGAACGGGAAGGGGCGGAGCTTAGATTTGCCGACCCCGGGGGAGGGGGCGGAGCCTCGGTGGGAAGGGGGCGTGGCCGGCGGCGACGGGACCACCGCGTGCTGGTTCGTCCGTTGGCGATTCGTTAACTCGGTCATTTATTCGCGGTCGATGCGGTCGATTGGTCGGTCGATTAATTAATTAAGGGGATATCGGGGGAGGGGCGCGAGGGGGCGGGGCCGGGGCGGGGGGCGGGGCCTGGGGCGGGGGCGGAGCCTCAGAGGCCCAGGGTGCCCCCGATGGACGAGGCCAGGACCACGCCCAGCACCACGCAGCAGATGATGATCATGATCTTCTTCTGCTCGGGGATGGTTTGGGGACAATTCGGGGCGATTCGGGACATTTGGGGGTTTCGGGGGATTTGGGGAATTTTGGGGTTTTTGGGGATTTTTTGGGGATTTTTCGGGGAAGTTTTGGGGGTTTTTGGGGGATTTTTGGGGATTTTTTGGGGGGATTTTTTGGGATTTTTCGGGTATTTTGGGTGGGATTTACGGGGTTTGGGGTATTCGGTAAATTTGGGTGGGGTTTTTTTGGTGAATTTCGGTGGATTTCGTTGGGTTTGGATGGGTTTCGGTGGATCCGGGGTAAATGAGGTGAATTTTGGAGGGTTTTGTTGCGTTTTGATGGGTTTTTAATGAATTTGATGGATTTGGATGGATTTGGGCAAATTTCGCGTGGATTTTGATGAATTTCAGTGGATTATTGATGAGTTTCGGTGAGTATTAACGAATAATTTAAATGAGTTTCAATGCGTTTCGATGAATTTCCATGAAATTCAACAAGTTTTGGTGGAATTCAGTGAATTTCGATGAATTTTGATTATTTTTTCATTGATTTCAACGAATTTCAATGGATTTCGATGAAATTTGATGGAATTCAATGATTTTCAATGAATTTTGATGATTTTTTTCATCGATTTCAACGGATTTCAATGAGTTTCGATGAAATTTGGTGGAGTTTCGATGATTTTTCAGGTGAATTTTGGGGAATTTTGGGACGTCCCGGCAGCGGGGGAGGGGAGAGAGAACAGCGGAACGTCACCGACCCCTCCCCCACCCCCAGCCCCAACCAGTGCAAACCAGTTCAAACCAGTTCAAACCAGTTCAAACCAGTACAAACCAGTACAAACCAGTATAACCCACTGACCCTCCCAGTTCCCTCCCAGTTCAAACCAGTATAACCCGGTCACTCCCAGTCCACCCCAGTATAAACCAGTATAACCCAGTCCATTCCAGTATAAACCAGTATAACCCAGTCCATTCCAGTATAAACCAGTATAACCCAGTCCACCCCAGTATAAACCAGTATAACCCAGTCCGTCCCAGTGTCCCCACTGACCCTCCCAATCCCCTCCCAGTATAACCAGTACATCCCAGTCCCCTCCCAGTCACTCCCAGTATAACCCAGTGTGATTCCCCCACTGACCCTCCCAGTCCATCCCAGTATGTCCCAGTATAAACCAGTATAACCAGTATAACCCAGTCCATCCCAGTATGTCCCAGTATAAACCAGTCCCTCCCAGTATATCCCAGTCCCTCCCAGTCCCTCCCAGTCCATCCCAGTCCCTCCCAGTCCCTCCCAGTCCCTCCCAGTCCCTCCCAGTCCATCCCAGTCCATCCCAGTCCATCCCAGTATATCCCAGTATCCCCGGTGTCCCCACTGACCCTCCGGGCCTTGCTCTGGTACTTGACGGCTTTCTTGGTGTCGGACACGGCGCGCTCGACGTAATCCACCGAGTGCTCCACGTTGTACTCGATGCGGTCAATCATCTCCCCCTGCGGCCGGAGAGTGACCAGAGTGACCACCGGTCAGCCAGAGTGACCGCTGACCACTCAGAGTGACCGCTGACCAACCATGGTCACCATGGGTCACCATTGGTCAGTGACCACCGAGTGCTCCACGTTGTACTCGATGCGGTCAATCATCTCCCCCTGCGGCTGGAGAGTGACCAGAGTGACCACCGGTCAGCCAGAGTGACCACTGACCGCCCAGAGTGACCACTGACCGCCCAGAGTGACCACTGACCACTCAGAGTGACCATTGATTAGTGATGGTCACCATGGGTCACCATGGGTCACCATTGGTCAGTGACCACCGAGTGCTGCACGTTGTGCTCGGTGCGGTCAATCATCTCCCCCTGCGGCCGGAGAGTGACCACCGGTCACTCCCAATGACCATCGATGGATCCCGATGACCCGTGGTCACTCAGTGGTCACTCAATGGTCAGTGTGTCCACACCTGGCTCTCCACCAGCATGGCCGTGTCCACGAACGTGTCGTGCTGCTCGCGGATGCCCTTTGGCCACTGACCAATGACCACTGATGGGTCCCAATGACCACCGGTCACTCCCAATGACCCATAACCCATCCCAATGACCACCGGTCACTCCCAATGACCACTGGTCACTCCCAATGACCATTGATGGATCCCAATGACCCTCGATGGATCCCAATGACCACCGGTCACTCCCAATGACCCTCGATGGATCCCAATGACCACCGGTCACTCCCAATGACCCATAACCCATCCCAATGACCACCGGTCACTCCCAATGACCATCAATGGGTCCCAATGACCACCGGTCACTCCCAATGACCCTCGATGGATCCCAATGACCCTCGATGGATCCCAATGACCACTGGTCACTCCCAATGACCATTGATGGATCCCAATGACCCTCGATGGATCCCAATGACCCTCGATGGATCCCAATGACCACCGGTCACTCCCAATGACCCATAACCCATCCCAATGACCACTGGTCACTCCCGATGACCATTGATGGGTCCCGATGACCATTGATGGATCCCAATGACCATTGATGGATCCCAATGACCGCCGGTCACTCCCAATGACCATCAATGGGTCCCAATGACCACCGGTCACTCCCAATGACCCATAACCCATCCCAATGACCACTGGTCACTCCCGATGACCATTGATGGGTCCCGATGACCATTGATGGATCCCAATGACCATTGATGGATCCCAATGACCACTGGTCACTCCCAATGACCATCAATGGGTCCCAATGACCACTGGTCACTCCCAATGACCCTCGATGGGTCCCAATGACCAGTGGTCACTCCCAACGACCCATAACCCATCCCAGTGACCACTGGTCACTCAGTGGTCACTCAGCGGTCACTCAGGATGACCACACCTGGCTCTCCACCAGCATGGCCATGTCCACGAACATGTCGTGCAGCTCGCGGATGCTCGTCTCCAGCTTGATGATCTCGTTGTGCCGCGTCTCGATCTCGTTCAGCGCCTGCTTGGTCATCTGCGAGTCCATCTTGATCTGCGGGGACACGCGGCGGTCAGCGGGGCCGCCTGGCGGTCACCTGGCGGTCAGCGGGGCCGCCTGGTCCCAGGGATCTCCAGGTGGTCACCACAAATCACCTGGTGGTCACCAGGTATCTCCAGGTGGTCACCAGAGGTTCCTGGAGACCTTCAGGTGGTCACCAGAGATCTCCAGGTGGTCACCTGGTAGTCACCACAAGTCACCTGGTGGTCACCTGGCGGTCACCTGGCGGTCACCTGGTCCCAGGTATCTCCAGGTGGTCACCAGAGGTTCCTGGAGACCTTCAGGTGGTCACCAGAGATCTCCAGGTGGTCACCTGGTGGACCTGACCCCTGGTGGCCATGGTGACCCTGGTGGTCACTGTGGTCACTCTGGTCAGTGGTCACTCACGTCATCCGTGAAGGTGGCCAGCTGGCCGCTCTCCAGCATGGCCGTGACCACAGTGACCACGGTGACCACGGTGACCACAGTGACCACAGTGACCACACTGACCACAGTGACCACACTGACCACAGTGACCACAGTGACCACGGTGACCACAGTGACCACACTGACCACAGTGACCACGGTGACCACGGTGACCACGGTGACCACACTGACCACAGTGACCACGGTGACCACGGTGACCACACTGACCACGGTGACCACGGTGACCACGGTGACCACACTGACCACAGTGACCACGGTGACCACGGTGACCACGGTGACCACACTGACCACAGTGACCACACTGACCACGGTGACCACAGTGACCACACTGACCACAGTGACCACAGTGACCACAGTGACCACACTGACCACACTGACCATGGTGACCACAGTGACCACGGTGACCACACTGACCACAGTGACCACGGTGACCACGGTGACCACGGTGACCACACTGACCACAGTGACCACACTGACCACGGTGACCACGGTGACCACGGTGACCCCGTGGTCACTCCCCATGACCCCACTGACCCCTGGTGGCCATGATGACCACGGTGGTCACTCTGGTCAGTGGTCACTAATGGTCACTCACGTCGTCGGTGAAGATGGCCAGCTTGCCGCTCTCCAGCATGTCCTCCAGCTCCTCGTTGGTCGTGGTCCGGCCGGCTGCGGGAGAGTGACCGCTGAGTGACCACTGAGTGACAACTGACCCCTTCCCCTCACTGACCACTCCTTCCCAGTGACCACTGACCCCTAGAGTAACCCCTGACCCTCAGAGTGACCCCTACACTGACCACGCCCATTAGCGACTCCTTCCCCGCACTGACCACTGACCCCTGATGATCCAGAGTGACCAGATGGTGCCAGATGACCCCAGAGTGACCACCGAGTGACCAGAGCAGCGGTCAGTGACCCCAGCGGTCACTCAGAGTGACCAGAGCAGCGGTCAGTGACCCCAGCGGTCACTCAGAGTGACCAGAGCAGCGGTCAGTGACCCCAGCGGTCACTCAGAGTGACCAGAGCAGCGGTCAGTGACCCCAGCGGTCACTCAGAGTGACCAGAGCAGCGGTCAGTGTCCGCACTGATCTCCAGCTGTCTCTGGATCCGGTCCTGGCAGCGGTCAGTGACAGTGACCGCTCTGTCCATCCCCATTCCCCGATGACCAATGACGACCCACGATGACCAATGATGACCAATGACCCCAGCGGTCACTCAGAGTGACCAGATGACCACAGAGTGACCACAGAGTGACCACAGAGTGACCCTCACTGATCTCGAGCTGTCTCTGGATGCGGCCCTTGCAGCGGTCAGTGCATGGTGACCCCACAGTCCATCCCCATCCCCTGATAACCCACGGTGACCAATGATGACCAATGATGACCAATGATGACCATTGACCCCGGGTGACCCCAGCGGTCACTCAGAGTGACCAGATGACCACAGAGT